GATCTACCGAGTGCTTTCGAGACTTAACAAACTAGCAATTGCGCCTGCGACCTACCCAACACCAGAACTGAGGCTAACAAACGAGAGGACGCTGATGCGTCGATAGGAATATGGTGCCTGGTGCAAGAGAGATGGCGGCGGAAGGAAAATCCAGGCAATCATTCGCTTTTCGCTCCGTTCCTAAGCCGCAGCGCCAGCCCCTAGAGTAGGCAAACCGAAAGTGTCGGCGACATGACGGAACCCTCATCATTTTCATCAGCGCAGATGAAAATGGTGCTGAGGCTGCTCAGTCGCCAAACTGAACCTTCGAGTTCCGCCATGGTAGGGAATGCTGCCTTAGCTTCGCCAGATTGATCAAACGGGTGCGAAAATGATCTGCCGCTCATGCATCCTCCGTTTCTATTGCTACTAACATAAGCGTACTTGTGACTACTTTCATTCCTCCACTTCTTTTCTATTTAGCAACTTTTCCGAACAACGAATCTTGGTTAGTTCAGGAGAGTGCGAATAATGGAGGTAGATTGGAAAGGGAGTTGCTCATGTGTTAGCCGGCATATTACTTCATCACCCACTCTGCCACTCACTGTATTTACCTAGAAGCTAGCATCAGACAGTTTATTTCGTCAGCCCTGGAACAGGGGCCGCATGGAAGCTGTCCACTGTCTACACAATTCTTGAGGTGCGACATGTTTGCTGAGAATGTGGTGCCAAAAAAGCCTGAATTGTCCTTTCCCCCCTCTCCCGCCGGCCAGTCAGGCTATGGCCACATAACAAAGACGAACTTGCATCACTCATCCAGCCAACTAGAATTGAGCCATTGTCTTTTGCGTATTTAGTTACCTATTCGAGCCAATTGGTCGCGGTGAGTTGTAATTGTGGAGGGAACTCTTGAATGACTTCTTCTACTTATTCAACGCGATAAATCTGGATCCAGAAATCGGAGCACTGGGAGTAGTTTTCAGCTTATCATGACCTAAGAATAGTTTCATCTTGGATTATGAATATTGTTGCTATATTCATGGTTGTGTAGCATCTGCAGCAAAACCCAACTTTTGCCTCGACAACGGTTGCAAGTGGGCTGGAAGCATAAGTCGAAACTGGGCTTTGAAGCTGTCAATCTATTCTTGGCTTGCCTGCACCACTTGTCAGGTCTCTCCCTTTCACTAGCAGCCATCTTTAGTTGACTCTCTTAAATCATAGCTGGAGGCTGTAGATACGAGATTTTGGCTGTCGATAACTCCAAAAAAAAAAAAAAAAAAAAGGGGGGGGGGGGGCTAACAACGTCTTAGTTAACTAAGACGAAATCCAATCAACAAATCCAGGTGCATACATCGTCGTTCAGCTAATGAAGTAGAGCCAAACACTCGGGAGGCACTACTAATGGCAGCGCGTTTTGCGTTACTGGATTGTCGTGTCGTGAGTGGTCAATCGCCAGAGGCTAAGCAGTCGAAGACTTCGGGGCCTCTTAGTCTTGGCCCGCTTGGCACTCACGGAGGGAGCCCCGCGGGGCCGAGGCGATTTAGTGTAGTGGACCGTGATCGGGTGCAACATGGGTGACTTGACGTCACGAGACGAGCCTAGCATCATGATCTGATTCGAGACTCGTTTACTGTATCTTCGAGAAGAAGCAAGTTGCACAGTTGAGTTGAGAAAGCCGAGGCACCCGAAGGATAGGCTGCAATATGGATGCGAAGGAAGCGTTTCCTAGCTGCACCTCGTGTTTACCGGCGGGTCCGAGGGATCGAAGAAGCCAAGAACCGAACAAGAAAGCAACGCTGGGCGCGTCCATGAAGAAGTCTCAGTCAAGGACCCAGACCCATGCAGTCGACAAGATATACATGTCAACTTGGGGCTTTGCTACAGGAGTTAACAGGATTTCGCATTGGAGGACTTGGCTGTGCGCAGTCCATTCAGGCGTCGTCGTGGCAGCACAGCATGAAGCAACGTTGCGCCTGTCTGCGAGTGCAAGGGATTGGCTTGATCGCCAAGCTGCCAGCTGAAGTAAACTAGAGTACTCGGCCACCACACACCTACTTGGTACAGCGGCCGATTGTGGGATTTCGATGGAAGTTCCATGAACGAAAAGCACGTGCGAGGGTTAGGTGAGGGTTGATCGACATATTTGGACTCGGTCGTGGGACTGGTGATGGGATGGAATGTTGTGCCGCCCAACTTCCCCAGATCTCAGCCAGACTAGCGCTATGGCATGCTAGCCGAATGTCGAAATACATGCAACTCCAAGACATGACTGTTACTCGGAGCTTATAGAGAATTGACTGGCCGTGGAACTTCATCGAAGGCACAGTTAACTTGCGGTGAACATCGTTGCGCGAAATGCTGCGATTTACTGCAGGCGTGAAGGTCAAAAGCTTGTTTTGGCCAACAAAGATCGGTTAGCACTGGAGCGAAGCGATGCGATGCAGAGTGGCGGGAACCCCGCGGCCCTCGCCGGAAGTGAGGGGATTCTCGTATCCATCGTGAGAGTCAGGTCAAGCGACGATGTGACGATGCAGCGCTGTGCCGCAATAAGGTGACTCAGCCAGGTGGTTGGTCGGGCGAAAGCAGCCGACGACGAACCTCGCCCGGCAGCCTGGAGGCCAGAGATGGTGGGATGATGCTGTAAAGTGCCGACAGTCTGGGGAGAAGGGTTGAATGTGAGCAGTACGTCTATGGGTAGTTGGGCAATAGGTAATGTCCGTAGAAGGTGGTGGGATGGAGCGGTGGAAAACCGCGGGAAACTACCTCATGGGCGTGCATCATCATCTCGCTATGGTTAAAGATTTTTTCCAATGAGGATGTCGAGTGAGCAAAAGACAGCAGGTCTGGTAGCAACCCTCATGGCAACGCATGATGCGGCGGCGTGAGGGGAAAAGTGAGCTAGCAAGCGGCGAGCTGCAAGGAAGAGAAGACGGAAAAGGGCGGGCGAGTAAGGCGACGGGGTGCAGCATTGTGCATTAGGCGCGGCCAGGGTGCCAAAAAGCCTCAAGCTTGATTTCTTTTCTTAGGCCATGGCCGTAATTCGGTTTTTTAGTAAGTTGAGCGAGAGAAAAGGAGGGGGGGGGGGGGGGAGAGAGCGTCGTGAGCACCTTGGTGAGGCCAAAGTGGAAAGTTGAGAGCGCGCCTTTGTCGTATCCTGATCGGGATTAGCGGTGGAATAAACGGCCGACTACCATCTGACGGAGACTTCTCAAGTGAACGAGGGGTGCCTAGGGGCTGGAAGCTGGTGATAGTTGTCCCATCGTATAAGGATGACTAGCATGAAGCTTGAATACCATGCTGGGTATGCATAGTAAGGTACCTGAACCTGAGTTGAGGAATGCGGGCGGGGGAATAAGAAGGCCTGGAGAAATGAAAACAGACCTGGCTAGGATCTATTGTACCTAACTGAGGTTGCATAAATGCAATGTACGTACTGATCTTGCCTAAGTTCTCAGGATGCAAGTAGAGTGCCCAAGGTGTCGAAGAATTGTTTAGAAAAAAAAGAAACCTGATAAAGTACCACGTACCTACCCTACCTTACACTAGATAGACGGCAAGAACATCTCAGTTGGCGACTTCCGTGTTAGCCGAGCTGTGCCCTCCTGTACGAGGAAGGCTCGATGTTTTTCCTGGAGTTGGCAGTTGCCCAGCGAGGCAGCGAGGCCCCACCGGATAGAGCTGGCGATACCCCACATGTCCGTCCCAATTTGGCCAAGGCTCTCACTGATTGGCTTCGATCGGTCGTCTTGGTCATCCGACAGGCTAGGCTACCCCTGGCTAGAGCACGCTAAGCGAAAGCCACTAGGCAGGGGGGAAACTTAGGAAGGAAGAAGATGGGACCTTTTGGATTTTCCCGCTTGTCTTCTTCCCACGCGAGTTGTCATTCCAACCTCGAGTCCACCCGTCTACGAAGTAGTGTAATACGCCATCCACACCGTCGAACCGCACCGTTGGAGGCGGCCGGCGGGAGACAAGAAACAGACTTTGCAAGCCTACAAAGAAACTTCACCCATCAACTCCACTTTCAACTGCCTCTTGTGGACCCGGCCGATGCGCCGTCGACAAACGTCGAAACAACCGCCCAATGACCGGAGCAACGCAAGGGTTATCAACTTGACAACCTCCGCTTCTCCTCATGGTCGAAGATCCTCCAGATTCTTCCAGCAAGTTATCCACCGTGTTCCTGGTGCCATCTCCACCCTCTGAGATCATCACTGGAACACCGGGCCCTTCACTTCTCGAGCACTGCTCCCAATTCAGAGTAACTCCCGTCTCTGACAGGACCGGTTCTTTCCATGAGGTTTCCTTCACCATGGCGACCATATCTCGCCGTCAAGTTCCGCCCGTCGTCTACCAGTGCCTTATTCCTGGGACTTGCAAGTCATGGCAGAACATCACACTAGCCATCGGTACGAGCTGACGGACGCCGCCATCGCCCACACGCCATGTACCCATATTCGACAGAATCACCGATGGTTGACCGGTGACTGGTCGACCTTGAACTCGCCCTACGTGGTGTGAGTGGCCTCCGGCTCGCTAGCAAACCACCGGCGCAACCTTCTGCTGACTGGCAGCTATACCATGGCCCATGATGTAGCCCGGCCTGATAGCAAGGGCACTACTGTTACCTTGCATATCGACATGGTGCCTCATCTTGTGCGATGGCTGGGTGGGAACATGGGTAAAAGGCAACCAAGAGATCAACCACGAGCCGTGCTGCGGCTTCAGCTCGTATTCTGCTAGCCAGCCCGCCCTGGTGGGATGGGTGGATGGATGGATGGATGATGGATGCATCACTCTCCGCCGTGGCCTGACGTAGCCTCCAGCAACCAGCAAGCGCCAACCATCCACACCCTCGTCTAACTTCTGATAAAGTCCCCTTCGCCGCGCCGAGAGTATGGTTCGTGTCTTCTCTTTCTCTCCTTACCCACGGTCGCTACGAGTAAATCGTCCTCTCGCTCCAATCAACTAGTAGACTTCTAAAGTCACTGTCATTCGCTTCAAAAAGAACAAGATTCAATATGCGCGGCCTTTACATGGGACTGGGCGCCATTGCCCTGGCGTCCGTCAATGCTTGGGAATACCCCTATTGTGTACGTCTACTCGTACCCTTGTCTAGTTTGACTACATCATATCATTCCTACGCATTTCGTCTCCTTCAGTCGCCGCTTGATGGGATGAACTATGCCTCTGATGAGAACTCTCCACTAACCCATTACAGGAACACGATGGGTGCTACCGCAACCTCATTGACGAGCGCTTCGCCGAGGAGGCCAAAGGGTTCTGTGTTGAGTTCCTCCACGGAACCACCACTGCTGCCGCTGCCATCCCAACAGACTTCAACAACTGTGCTGGAGATGTCAAGGCTGTCTCCTCTGCCTGCTCCTGCATCACCTACAGCCTGAGCACAACGGTTCCTCCCACCACCAGCACCTCCGCCCCGTGGACTACCAGCACTACCGCTCCTCCGACCACCGTCAGTACCACTGAGGCTTCCAAGACTACTTGGTCTTCCAGTGAGGTCGTTTCTACGAGCACACCCAAGGAGCACTCGTCCACAACTCCCGTCACTTCTGAGACGAGCACATCGTCCACCTGGGTCAGCAGCACCAAGGTTCACAGCACCTCCACCTCCTCCGAGGACTGCACTACGTCGTCAACAGCTATCAGCTCGACCAAGGAGCACAGTACCTCCACCTCGTCCGAGGACTGCACTACCTCTTCCACCGCCGTCAGCAGCACCAAAGTCCACAGCACAACCACTTCGTCGGAGGACTGCACCACTTTGTCCACTGTTGTCAGCTCGACCAAGGTCCACAGCACCTCTACATCAACTGAGGACTGCACTACCTCCTCGACTGCTGTCAGCAGCACCAAGGGCCACAGCACGACGACTGAAGACTGCACCACCGAGACGACCGTGAGCACCAAGAGCCATCATTCACACTCCAGCAAGCCCCCCACGACTCACGTCCCTCCTCCTCCCCCACCTACTACCACTGAGGATTGCACCACAGAGACTGCCGTCAGCAGCACCAAGGGAGAGAGCACGACCAAGAGCCACCACTCTCACCCCAGCAAGTCTTCCACCTGGGTTCCTCCTCCTCCCACCACCACCCCCTACGCGAACACGACGACCGAGAAACCTCCTCATACCAAGACTAGCACCACCAAGCTGACGACTTCCACCGTCTATACCACGACCGTTGAGACTGTGACGAAATGCCCTCCCAGCGTCACAAACTGCCCTCACACTCCTGTCACCACAACCAAGACCATCGCCGTCTCGACGACCATCTGCCCCGTTACCGAGGAGTCCACAAAGCCCGTTCCCACCCACCCGGTTCCTCCACCAACGACCTGGACGACTTCCACGGTTTACACTACCAGGGTACACACCATCACCAGGTGCCCTCCTGATACCCCCAACTGCCCCGAGGGTCCTCACACTACTACTGAGACTATCCCTGTCTCCACCACCATCTGCCCTGTTACCGAGAGCGTACCTCACACTTTCACTACTGTGCACCCCGTGCCCAGCAACCCGCCTCCTCCACCGCCTGCTGGCACCCCTCCTGCCGGAACCCCTCCTGCTCCTCCCGCCAGCACCCACCCGGCGCCTCCTGTTGGTACTCCCCCGGCCGGTACTCCTCCCGCGCCGCCAGCTAGCACTCACCCTGCTCCCCCCGCTGGTACCCCTCCCGCTGGTACTCCTCCCGCTGGTACTCCTCCCGCCGGTACTCCCGCACCACCTCCGGCTGGCACTCCCTCTGCTCCTCCTGCAGGCACTCCTCCCGCCGGAACTCCTCCTCCCGCTGCTACCACGCCCGTCGCGTCGCCCAGCAAGACCACCGCTGGTCCAGTCCAGGTCACCAACGCTGCTGAGCGTCTCGGCTCCGGCATCTTGGCCGCAGCTGCTGGTGTCGTGGTAGCTGCTCTGCTCTGATCCAAGCCATGCGCATGCTTAATTGACGTTCAAGCGAGCTTTTTGTTTAATGTGTAATTCATGAAAATTAACGTTCACACGACACAATGTGGATATGGGATATGTAACGCGTGTTCATAGCGATAGTCGTACCTTACAAAAATTGAGAAAGGCTGCCTTCGTGCAGCCGTGTTGATGATATATTTGTTTTTCTTGGATGCTACTTGTGATCCGCTGCTCATTAGATGTACCTGATGTACCTTTCGGTGACTCGTTCAACATAACGGACATGCTGTGACTTATTTTCCTGCCCAATCTTGGCTGCTGAAAGCGACTTCTCATGCTGTAACAATCAATGACAAGAGAGTCCTCTCGAGGCAGACACACTACCTCATGGTGAAGTGAGGTCGATGATCTCACCGGCCGCAGGCGAGGCGATGATATGGCTGGGCACACCCGCATCTTCAGCCGAAATCATCAGCGAATCCTCCATGCCCTCATCTGTCTCGGCTGTGCCACCTCGCCCGGCGAGAACCCCATCGTCATGTCTACTGACCTTCCACGCCCCAGTCGAAGGGTCATACTCGAGCAGATACATCCTCTCCAGCTTCTCCTCACCATGATACTCCATCCCAATCTCCAAAACAGGCTCACCATAATGCCCCATAAACTCCAGCTCCACCTTGACCTCTATCTCCCTAACCAACTCCCCCCGAAAAGGGATGGTGAACGGCTCAGTCCACGCAACGCGCCTGTTACCCTGCATTCTCACAGACTGCAAAAAGCTCGCAGGCGTGCCGTCTACATCGACGCCCCTCGCCGTAAGCTGATACCTCTCCTCTCCCGTCACCTCAACCTCAACCACCAACCTCCGCCTCAGCACGAACCGCGGGATCGGGATCCCCAACTTCTCCATCACCCGTACCATCAAATCATCCGTCGTGGCCCACACGCGCAGCGACTCGCTGAGGTGGTCCAACGGCGTACTCTGCAAGTTACAAATCGCGAGCGTCCCGCCGGCCGGATTTGTCTTTGTGCGCTTCTTCTTGCCGACGGTCTCGGGGATCGTGCAGGCTGGCGGGACGGTTAGGGAGGAGCCCAGGGCGAGGCAGAGGTCTGCTTTTCTGGCGTTGGAGCGGGCGAGGGCGAGGGGTTCGGCGGGGAGGTACTCGCCAAAGTTGATGATTGTGTCGAGGAGGGTGCCGTTGCAGAGGGGGCATTTGCGGCCTGTGCGGTGGTCGCGGATCGATTTTTCGTAGGTTGCTACGGCGCGGAAGTCTGATTGTTTTCGTCAGTATCGGTCGTGACACGCTGTTTGAATTGAGGCAAAGTGAGGAAGTCACAAATTTCAACTAAAATGACGAAAGCGATTACGATAAAAGAAAGGAAAGATGCTACCTCGCAAATATTCTTTACCGCAATCTTTGCAATACTCGCGGTTGCTGTTGCCATGAAGCTCGGAGATCTTCTCCTGGAAGAAAGAGTAATACAGCGTAAGCCACTATCGGACCAACTCTCCCTAATCCCAGCAATGGTAACCCAAAGACTTACTGGTAGAATCCCGCTCTTACGGTGCAAGCCATCGCAGTTTTGACTAACAAGATACTTCAAGACGCCGCGGTCCTGCAGCTCAACGAGCGCCATGTGCGTCTTAGTAGGGATGGCCTGGAGCGTGCTCGTCGCCTTGCCCGTTCTCTGCCTTCCCTGGGCTCTGAGTGTCCAGGCACCTTCAGGTCCGCGAAAGTCGGGGATTCCTGAAGTTGCTATTGTTCAGCTCTATATATTTCCGACAGCCGAGAGGGTGACGTATGATGTGACCAACGCAGCTAAGGGCAGGGCGGTCGATTCGGAATTCGCGACTTGGATCTCAGAACGGGGGATCTATAACTCACCTGCCGAGGTACAAATTCCTGCGCCGGTGAAGGCAATAAAGTGCTTGCTCTTCTTAATGAGCTCTACCAATCGAGAGGCTTTGGCATCGAGAATGTCGAGAGCCTCGCGCCGCTCCGGCTCGGCTTCTCTGGGCGCACTGTCTGCCATGGTGTAATACAAGATTCGAGAGACTGAAATCCGTTCTTGAAAGATGAGGAGTTCTTTGATTTGCACAATGGACCGACAAACAAGGTATTTCAGTGTTGACTCGATCTATCAGACGGAACCTTTTTTTAAATAAAATCGCAATGAAGGGTCATCGTATTGTCGAAGATTGGTGAGGTTGACTACGTGATGTTTGATTGGACATTGAGAGTTGTCAATCATGATTAGGCAGCCATGACCTCCTCTTCCAACTTGGGATAAGCCGTGCTAGTGTGTGAATTATAGCTTAGCGCTGGCTGAGTGATCATGAACGGGTGTTAGTGGTGGTGCAAGATTGAAGTACACAAGACAAGCCCGTTTTACTGCATACACATCTTAGATGCATATCATTCAGAGTCAATCTCAGAATTGTTCGCAGGTTGTTTCCACTCCAACATCTACGAACAACCGGGCAATACAGTGGGCACGTTCCAAGGGGTTAGAATGCAGCATGAGGGGTCTGAGGAGGTTAGGGACCCAGCACAGTGTTGGTCCATGGTCCGTTCCCACCACACGAGCACTCCCTGGTCCGCTTGTTACCACAAGGTAGTGAAGTTGTGAAGGTGAATTGAGCTATCCGGTGAAACGAGTTTCTCGCCAAGCAGAAAGCCGCAATCAGTCTTCGATACCGTCATTCCAATCATGTTCAATCCCACTTGGAAGATTGCAGGCTTGGTGCGCGAGGTGAAAAGGAATCTCATCTCCGGTTGGTGGGGTCTGGCATTCCCGCACTTCGGCCGACGAAGAATTCATCAGCTTGACTAGGTAGACACAATTATTATTATGAGGATGCGACGACAAATAATAAAGACTTAAGCATGAGATTCTCTCTTGACGCGGTATGCTAGCAAGTGGGTAATGTAACTGAGCTCCTTTATGTTCTAAGTACTGCGAACACTGCTGCGACTACTGATCCTCTCACTGCTACTATTTCTTTTGCTTTTCGTTGTATGCCTTCGTGAACATACTCTATATAGCGTAATTAGGTAGTAATACTAATGGCGTGTGTATATGTATGGATCGTTAGAAAACCGCGAGTTGATCGGCATCCTCTCCTGTCAATCGCTTGCTGAGATGCTTCTTCTCACCAATGGGCTTTCCGGTCGTTGGAGGTCATCCACGGGCTGCTATTCCTCCTCTAGAATAACGCTGGTTTCCACCCGCCCGCGATGCCCCTGGCACCACAAAAAGCAAAAAATGCAACCATGTACGCCGCCCCCGCGAAAAAGATCAAGTTCCGATACGGCTCAGTCCCCGTCTTCAGCAGGAATCCCGCCAAGGGAATACCCACCAGCGCACCAAAGCTCGCAATAAAATACGCCATGCCCGTCGACTTGCCATAATCCTCAATCTTGCAGACGCGGGAGATGCACACCGGCGACAAGCTGATCGCAGCCCCGGACCAGAAGCCAAACAGCGTGGTAAAGGACATGATCTTTGCATCCACGTCGCCGGCGGCGAGCCACAGCCCCAGAATCAAGACGCCGCAGCAGAGGGACGTGACGCACATGGTGTTGAAGGCGCCCACGCGGTCGGCAATGTAACCCGGTAACATCCGGCCCGGTATCGCGCCGGCGTTGAGCAGGACGTTGAGGAGGAAAGATTTCTGCAGGCCGAGTCCCTTTTCAATGGCGTAGGACGATATGTACGTGTAGGGTATAAAGACGGCAAACTCGACAAAGAAGATGGCCACCACGGCGACGCCGAACTTGAGGTCGCGCAGGAGACGGAAGTCGATCAGGGCCTTGGCTTTACGTTTGGGCGGGAGGCGTTTCCGGAGGAAAATGTTTGTGACGACCAGGCTGCCCGTCGATAGGAAGGCGATGATGCGCATGGCCCAGGGGAAGCCGATGCGGGGCGCGAGGTACTGGATGATGAGGGAGAAGCCGATGCCGCCGAGGCCGCCGGCCGTGCAGGCTACGCCTGTCGCGAAGGCGCGGCGCTCGCAGAACCAGTGACCTATGGCGGAGAGGGCTGGGTTGAAGAGGAAGGCGGCGCTGATGCCGCCGCAGACGCCGAAGGAGAGGAGCATTTGGTAGAATTCTGGAGACGTAGTCTTTGGGTCAGTTATGATGCGGACCATGGTATAATTGGTGGGAGGCTGGTGTTGGGGGTTTACCTGTCGATAGACTGAGGAAGATCATTGAAGCAATCATGCCAATCGAGCCTGGAATGAGGAGCACCCTGATATCAAATGCGTCGAATACTGGTCCTGTGGGTGGCTCCATCGTCAGTCTCCATTGGGCTACTGACATCCCGGGGGAATACCGACCAACTTGTGCTCCGCAAGCCGTGATGAAAAAGGCATAGCAAGAGAATATCCATCCCGCCTTGCTTTCAGGTACGCCTTTGAGCTCGTTCTGTAGCAGCCAGCCTTGGAGCACGGAAATTGTGTTGAGGATGCCCATCGGCGGGATCATGGCGCACCACGCACCGACCACCACCATCCAGGCCTGGAATCCGCCCTCGGGGTATTCGATATCGTCGTCGTGGAGCTCATCGTCTATTAGGTCTCCTTAGAGCTCGTTCGAAGGGCTTTTAAGACCGAAAAGCATGAGTTGGCTCAAACTTACTTGTGTCCAAGATGGTCTTTGGGGGCTGGAGCGCGAGTTGAGGGGCTTCGGGAAAAGGTGCGATGCTTGCGTGCTCGCTTGAGGACCGATGAGGCATCGCAGGGTTGAGTCCAGTTTGTTTCTCTGTGCCCAACCCTTTCTTGTCGTCGCGACGTTCCTCCATGGCACTTTACCTAATGTTCGCACGCTCTCCTTGACGACAACTTGGCTCTGAGTATTACTTGCAAAAGACAACTCCTAAGAGGCAGCAGACCTAACAACAAGAGCTCTGGCTTGAGGCAACCCGGACACGATCAGTCGGACAAAGTGACCGCCGCTGTTCAACCTCTGATGCGTGAAGCGGGCAATGGCCGGTCATCGGGTGAAATGGAGACCGCCGGACCGGTCCGAGTTGTTGAGGGGAAGCAAAACCGGAACGCGCCGACTGCGATCAGCGCGGGAACGCCCCCACCTTCTTATCTGGGCAGTTAAGTAAACTAACTAGTCGCGAAATGTCACCGGAGCTTGCTGATAAGCCAGCCCTCATCTTGACAAGAAAAGAACAGCGGAACAAATTGTCACAGTGGCAGGCGCTATCAAGTGATCCAATGTCCTCAAGTAATTGGAGATGCTGATCTTTGAGGAAAGATAATATCCGGATGCTTTCTCATGTCTCAATGGGCAGATCACATTCTGTCAGCATCGTCTTCAGGACGGCGAATGCGCCGAAATGTGAAAGTTTGAATCGGGATATCCCGCAGTTCCCTTCATCTGTCAAAAACCTCGAATCAGCAAGTAGAAACGGAAAATAAATACCAATGGTGATGGTAGAGAATGCTCTTGACCGGATTTGGACAGAAGTGGATAGAACGTCGTTGACATCGGCTAGAAGCAACTGACGCTTACCTGCACGCACGCAGAAATGCATGTCGCCACGATAGCTTCATGGGTACCTGATCAATGCACACGTACACAAAATTCCGCCCATAACCGCATTACATCGGCTATGCTCTCTCACACCAGCTCACATCGTGCCCTCAAGTACAAGTAACTTCATTCGGGTATATCGCCGAAGTGCAAGGCAATTGAATTTCCATCGTTATAGACATCTTATCATTATCATCTTACAGCTAGTACATAAGAAACAATGCAAACACCCAAGCCTGGTGAATAAAACGCTCCTAACAAAACCCAGCGCTGGAGAATCTAGTCTCAGCGAATTGTCTTTGGGGATGGGGGGGAATATCATGCAAAAAAGTAGAGAAACTCTACTGGTATCAAACTGTGCGCTGCGCGCCTACATCTCTTCGGATGCAAAGTAAAACAAGAAAACAAAATAACAGACACATTCTGTCGTCCAAATAAAATAATCAACCAAAATCAAATGGGTTGAGGCTCGTCGGCGGTCATCTCGCCGGCTGACACGACGACAGTGGAGACATCTGCCACAGTGGGCTTCTCCTCAACTGCCTCATCCGCCGCACGAACAGCATCGATCGTGATGGGCTCTGTCTTCTCCACTGATGCAGAGATAGACGGGATCTCCTCTAGGGCGGGCTTCTCCTCGACCTCAACGTCCTCTGGAAGAGGAACATCCACCGCAAGAGGAGCCTCGCTTGCAGTGGGCTCCATCTTTTCGGTCTCTGATGACACAGAAATAGTCGGGACTTCTACCGGAGCGGCCTTCTCCTCGACATCAACGTCTTCCGGAAGAGGAACATCTGCCGGGACAGGTGCATCAGTCGTGGTGGGCTCAATCTTCTCCTCTGACGGCGAGACAGATGCGACAGCCTCGGGGACGGGCTTTCCTGCGCTTTCGGCCTCAGCAACCTGGGTGACAGGTGCCGCAATGGGCTCCTTCTTTTCGATCGACACAAAGGTAGATGTGACCTTATTCAGGGCAAGCTTCTCCTCATTCTCATCGTCGGCCGTCTTGTTGGCAGCTCCCGTGATGATCTCCATCTTCTCGCGGAACGAGTCATCGTAGTGTGAGAAAACAGAGGAGGTGCGGCAGGTATCGAGTGACGATCGGGCGGTGGCAGGGCCGTTGTACGAAGAGAAGGTGGTGTCGGCGACGGACGAGATGCGGCTTCTGGTCGAGTTAGACCGAGTGAGCGGGATCTGCTGCTGCATCTGTTGCTGCTGCTTCTGCTGCTCAAACTTGGCCAGCTTGTCTGCCACGCTGCCCTGCATGTTCCTGAGAACGGGGAGATCGCCATTGATCGTCGACTTCTTCTTCTTGCCCTCCTCCAGCTCGCGGATCCAGGCAAGGCGGTCCGAGGCGATGCGGGATGATGCCCTCTTGCTGCTGCCACCGTCGAGGTCGCGACCACGCCACGGGGCGGATGCGGATGGTGGGCCGGACGATGTGGGCGTTCCTGCGGATGAAGGTACCGATGTCGGCGCCGGTTGCCAAGACCGTCTGCGATCTGTGTTGACGATTTCTGCAAGGAGGAGCTTATTCGGCGCCGGGGCGGTCGTGGTCGTCGTTGACGACGAGGGCATTCCTGAGGGATTCGAGTGGCGCTTTTCCGTGTTGGGCTGCAGCCGTTGCTGCCTGGCAACGGCGTCGGCATTCTGTTGGTGGGGCCTAATGACAGGCTCAACTGGCGTGACGATGGGGGTGGCCCGTGACGGGACGTAGGCCGGCACGAAGGCGGCGCGTCGTGGCGGTTCGCGAAGCGGCAGTTTGTTGGGTTGGTTCGATGTCGAGGTCGATACCGTGGAAAATTGAGTGCGAATGGGTGCTGCAGCTGTGCGGGGGGTCTCTGGTGGTGGCCAGGGTTTCGATGTGTGTGATTGAGGTTGGCCGGTTGAGCTGTTGTTGATGATGATCACGCTCGATGCAGTGCTTGGTGCAGCAGCAGTAGCAACCACAGTAGACCTCGAAGACATGGAGGGAGCCTGACCAGGGCGGCGGGCTTCGGCAGGCTTGCTGCTGGCGACAGAGGTGAGTAGTGATGGCGAAGATTTGTTGAGTGTTCTCATGTCGACCGTGGAGAGTGCAGCTGTCGTCGCCTTTCTGGCAAACATGTCGGCGATTGGCGTCATTGTCGAGGTCCGCGAAGAAGTCTTCTTGACCTGCTTCGGCTGCTCTGCACCCCTCGCGGCCTGCGACGGCGCAATACGGAAAGCCTCGAGGGACTGCAGGTCGATCTCGAGACTAGAGGTCCCGAAATCTGACACCTGGACCCGCGGGAAGGCCTTCATGCCCTCGTCCAGGGATGGTCGCTCCTGTCGTGACTCGCCCAAGACAGACAATGTTGTCTTTTTTGCTTTTTCCCGGCCGCGCCGCACGAAGCTCGACAGCTTCTCCTTGACGGAGGGAAGCCGTCGCGGGCCCTTCCACTCGTCGGTGTTCCGTTCATGTTTGGTCGACATGGTGTGTTTCCGCACTGCTTGACCCCTTCCTTTTGGGAGGATAAAGTCAAGGTTGTCGTGTTCAATTCTTCCGGAATCGACGAAATTCCCAAGGCCAAAGGGGGGAGGAAATCCCCCACTGCGAGATCACGTGAAGTAAACAAAATTGGCCCGGAGATCGCATTGATGCAGGGGCCGCTCATGCCACCCTAATTTGTCTCACGGTGACAAACCGCCCCCTGACAGGGGTCTAGCACTGCAACCTGAAGACACGTCGTTAGTTTCAAGGCCTATTTCGGTGCACTCTCCCGGATCTTCAATCAAAATGGGATTTGACAATTAGTCACGATGCTTCTAGAAATGATCTAGAAATGAGTTTAATGGAGATTTTTCTGCCTCTGTCTATCCTCCGTACCTTAGTGTACGTCATGAGTCATCCCGATCGTCGTCGAGAAGAGGTTCAGGAGGGAAATGTGCTGTGTTTTGTGACCGCCTCACTCATTCATAAATCTCCTCCTGAACTCAGGACATTCACATGAGAATGCACATGAGACTGAAAGCACAACTCTTGATCCTCAACCAGTGGAGAACAAGAAAAACGATGATGAGCGCGATGAAGTCGACATACTTTGATTTAGCTCCGTCGTCTAACTCAGCAGAAGAAGGCGAACTTCAAATCGCAGACATCTTGAGATCTTGGACGCTACTCAGCTTCATATTCTGTGTCGCATTCTCTCCCAAAGGTGATTTGCACGACTTTCCACAATGTGTAGATATGGCCCGTGCGTTCATTGAGGTCATTTCTTCATTTTTCCTGCGGTCAATTTCCACTCCGACCAACTAGTCATGCGTTCATTCTCAGTCCTAAAGCTCAAGTCATTTTAACGCCTTGAGACTAAAATCTTTAGGTAACTTTAGTTCACACCGTACTGCTTCTGGTATGTTTGGTGCAGTCAACTTTAATCTGCCCCAGACCTTTGCCATGCGATCGAGTGTCGAATTACAAAAAACCAAAATCCATTGGTGCCATGAGAAATGCATTAACCCACTCGTTGAGATATGTAATTGAGTCCTGCAGATAGGACAATACGGAACTCTCAGTCCGTATCACTTAGTTGTCAATAGAACTTGTACACCATTTGGTCGTCTCGTTTATGGCAAGGGAATCCATCAGTATGCCCCAATAACAGGCCCGGCAGACCAATTGAACGGGTCTCAATGAAGTCTCAGGCCCATTAGAGTCAACGAGTGACGTTGGAGAGTGTCTGTGAGAACGAAACAGTGATTCTCACCCCGAGTGCTTGAAACTCGAACTAGCCTCTCGTTTTGAAGATGAGCACTTG